ATTTGCTCGTGTCTTCGATTTAGCGTTGTTAAATCAAATTTAATGACTAACTTCCATGTCTTCCGGGAATAGTGCATTCTTCCAAGTTTCTCGTAATACATCCCTGGGTTATATTGGAATTGTTGGATTTTATAGTGTGGTTCCGTTTTTTTCTGCTTGGGCTAATGCTTGCCCTCTCCAGCACGCGAGTATTCTGTAACAAAGACATTCTGTTTCAGGGTGTATTTCTTTCTCTCTCTCCCTTTTTTTATGTTATTCTTCTATAAAAAGTTGTAGGCGCATTATTTTTCTTCCTTTCTTTATAGTATAATTAACATCTGAATTCTTTTCGATAATTGTGTACGGTCCTGTCCATAAAGATTCAAGTTTCTTTGAACGTCCTCGTCGTAACGTTTCATCGTGCATGAGTACTCTGTCACTTACACGAAAACTGGTTTCTTTAGTCTTTGTATCATACTGTTTTTTCGCTTTAATCTTTTCCTCTTGTACGTGTTCCCTGGCAACTTTGTTGGTCGCTCTTAATCTTTCCCGTAACTCTTGTGCGTAATCATCATAGTTATACGTGAGTTTAGGTGGTTTTGTCAGTGTTGTCGGTAATTCAGCTTGGTGACCGTATACTAGCTCAAACGGTGTATACCCCGTCGCTGTGTGCGGCGTTGTATTATATGCGAATATCGCTAACGGTATCCACTCATCCCAATCCGTTTGGTCCTCGTTTATGTAGTGTCGCAGGTATTCTGCTAATGTTCGGTGGGATCTTTCGAGTGCTCCGTTGCTTTCGGGATGATACGCGGTAGTTTGAATTTTGTTTATCTTCAAGAGTTTACAGGTGTTTTTGAATACCTCGCTCATTCGTGCCTTGATCGGTCAGAATTTTTTCTGGAATTCCATGCTCTAAGACAATTTTTGTCACAAATTGCTTACTTACTGTACTTGCTTCTTGGTTTGGAATTGGTATCGCTTTACTATATTTCGTTAAATTATCTTGAAATGTTAACAAATATTTATTTCCATTCGTTGTAATCGTAAGTGGTCCTACAATATCCAAAGCACATTTCTCGAATGGCTTGGTAGGTGTGTCCGTAATTACCAACGGTACTTTATTTTTCCGCGATAACTTATTTCTTTGACATAGCTCGCATTTAGCTATATATTTTTCGACGTCTTTCGTCAATCCGCGCCAGTTATGATTTAACCGGATTCTATTTACTGTTCGTTCGACGCCTTGGTGCCCTCCTATAGGTGCATCATGGTACTTATGTAATATCTGCTTTTTTTCTTCTTCTGTATATATTCTTGCTTCCTTTTCGTTGAAATTATCCTCGTTTATCGTGTGAATTTTTGGTTCTTTTTCTGCGGCAACTTCGTCTCGTTTTACATTGCGGCTCAGTACGTCGGCGTTTACATTTGCCTTTCCGGCTTTGTGTATAATTTCGTAATTGTGTTCTTCCAGCTGTAATCTCCATCGAATCAATCTTGAGCCTGGATCGTTAACGTTAAATAACCATGTTAACGGCTTGTGGTCGGTCACAATTTTAAAGGTGCCGTACACGTAAGGTCGGAAATGTTTGACCGCCCATACAATGGCTAGCAACTCTTTCTCTGTGGTGTTATAATTTTGTTCTGCTCGTGATAGAATTTGACTGGCATAAGCTATTGGCTGGTCTTCACCTATCTTTCCTTGAGATAGTATTGCTCCGATGGCATGGTCGGATGCGTCAGTAGTTATAATAAACTCTTGCGTAAAATCCGGATACTTAAGCACAGGTGCCGTTGTTAGTTTTTTTTTTAAATTGTTGAAAGCATTTTCTTGCTCTGAAGTCCATTCAAATTTTTCCGTTTTCTTTGTTAACTTTGTTAACGGTTTGGCTGTCTTCGAGAAATCTTTTATGAATTTTCTATAGTAACCGGCTAAGCCGATAAATGATTGCACGTCCTTAACTCTTTTTGGCGTAGGAAATTCTTTTATCGCTACTAGTTTTGACGGGTCTGGAGAAATTCCATTCTTCGATGTAATGTGGCCTAAGTAGATCACTTCCTTGCGCAAGAATTCACACTTCTCCAGTTGTAATTTTAAACAGTTTTTTCGGAGTCTTTGTAGCACCTCTCTTAATCGTTTGTTGTGGTCCTCCAGGCTAGGTCCATACACTACTATGTCATCTAGATACACAAGACATTTAATTCCCTGTAGGCCAGTTAGTACAGAAGTCATTAACCGCTGAAACGTTGCGGGTGCGCTCTTTAGTCTGAACGGCATGCGATTAAATTCGTAGTGGCCGTAAAGTGTCGAAAATGCCGTCTTGTGTTTATCTCGTTCGGCCATCGGTATCTGGTGATACCCAGATGCCAGATCTAGCGTAGTAAAATACTTGGCGTTCCCCAACTGATCAAGTATATCAGTGATATTCGGCAGTGGGAATGAGTCGCCTATTGTTAGATCGTTTAGCTTCCGAAAGTCTACAACTACTCGGAGCCTTGGATTTCCGGCTGCGTCAGCTTTTTTAGGTACCACTAACAACGGTGCATTCCATTGGCTAGTACTGCTTTGAATTATTTTGTTTTCTAACATTTCTTGTACTTGCCGATTTACTTCCGCTTTATGCTTGTTTGGAAGTCGGTATGGTCTTACATTCACAGGCGCAGCGTCAGCGCGTGTATTTATTTCGTGTTTTACTGCTGCAGTACACGATAATGGCTCTCCTTCTAAATGAAATAAATCGCCGTATTCTTCGCATATGTGTTGGAGTGATCGTTTTTCCTCGGCGTTTAAGTGCTGCGTACGTAATGCTAGTCAGATGCGTTTGTTTCGAGATACAGCAGGTTTAGTTTCCATTCCCGTCAATGTTTCATGTATTTCTGTATGAGTATCTGTTTCTAGTTCTTCCAGCGTAACTTGTGGAATCGGTATTTAAATTTCCTTGTCTGTAGTATTTATTACGCTTACAATGCAAATATGATTCTCCGGTTTCACTAGGCAGTTTCCAATATAAACTCCTGGTTTCATCTCTCTTGCTTGTACGATACCTTCTTCATTTCTATCTGTAATTGCCTCTATTATAGTCTCGCTGCGAGGCTTTAGTGTGACCTTTCCATACGGGTGCAATTTGAAAGTTTCTTCCTTTATTTTTAATTGCATTTGCTCGTAATCGCAAGATGCGGCGTGTGTCCGTAGGAAATCTATTCCTAGGGTTCCATCGTATTTTATGGCCATGTCTTTTCCTACCACATAAAATGCGTGTTTAATTTTTAATTTATTTGTTTCAATGGTCGCATACACTTTTCCGAGTGTGTGTATTTTGTGTCCCGTGATTCCGGTGAGAGCTATGCGATCTTTATAGACTAGAGCGTTATCTTTTAACGCGTTTAGCTTTATTAATGAAATTGTTGAACCAGAGTCATATAGCATATTCGATTCTCCGGGTTTTACCTCTCGTATGGGTAATCTTGTTAATAACAGTTCTGGCTTCGTACGGCCGTATGGCACACTTTTGATATGTGTAACCCGATATTCTGAGGCAGGTCGTGGTTGTTTTCCTCTCATCTCCTCTTGCTCGTCTTCGCTGCTTGCAGAGTCAGCGTTCTTCCTTCGGTTCGGCACTTTCAATTGTTGTCTTTTTTCGTTTTCTCTAAATTTATTGGTGTTGGGAGTGTAGCTTCGCCCTTTTAATGTCCAACACTCATCTCGGTTGTGCCCCGATTTTTTGCAATAATTGCAATATTTCTGCAATGCATTTACTTGTGCAGGTTTAAGGCTGATTTATAGAGGCCGTAACCGTTAATTTTTGCCGGAACCGATAAAGTTCAACATTGCGATTTCAATGCTTTAGTTTATATTGAGTTTCAGTAACTGGTAATTTATGCCATAAATATAATATGATTCAACTTTTATTCTGATTTATAGAGGTCGTAACTGTGTGCCGGAAAAGATAAAATTTAACACTGGATTTTGATATTTTTATATTAAAGTCTTTAAAACTTGTGATTTATGCCATAACTGTAAAGTTAACTCAATTTCAACTTTCATTGAATACGACAAACGATCAGACACGTATCGTGGGATGACGTGTGATTCCGTGCTACGTGAGCGACTATCGGAAGGGTCAGTAGAAACAGTGCTGCTCACTTTTCGCATTTTTAATCAAGAAATTACAATCATTCTTCAGGAATATACAATCGATCCCTTGTTAAAGGATCAATATAAAAACAGGCAAGCTAGCAAACGAACAAGCGCAACGTATCGTAGGTATGACAGGATTCATAACCTTCAATCACGCCAACTTTAGCGGTTAATTTCTTCTTTTAAAGCCACGAGCGATACTTTTTTCTTTTCAAACCTTTGTTTTCAGGCGAAATACGTTGGTTGAATATAAATTTCATTAAAATTAGTGAGAAAACCCGTACACTTGCGCTATTATCAAAGTCTATAGTTTGCTTCACATATATATATGCAAACAATATTTTATTTTTAGTACTAGTAGTAAATATTGAAACGCAACTAAAATGAAAGAAAATTTTATATAATTACGTTCATCTTTCAGGTACGAATAAAAAATATGGAGATAATAAATAAAGACATTCAATTAATTACCTTGGTCGAAAGATTTCCACAGTTATATGATAAGAAAAATGTTAACTATAAGGACCGAATAGCTGTGGAGAATGCGCGGCTATTTATAAGCGGAGAATTAAAAATACCTGGCAAGTATAATACACATTATATATATACACATAGTTAATTATACATATATAGAATTCTGTAAGTAAAAAAGTTAGATTTAATAACGATACATATGTAAATATATATATTTTTTTCTTTTAGTCGCTGATTGTACTGCTCGATGGTTGTCATTACGCAATAGATTTTTTAAGGAAAGAAATAAAAAGATACCTTCAGGAGCAGCTAAGCAAACAGAATGGCCATTAATGAAGTATTTAACATTTTTACATCCTGTGGTGAAGAAACGACGAACATTTGGTAATATTACAATAAAAGAGGAATCAAACTCTTCGGAAACACAGGATGTTGATACTTATGAAAAAAATTCACAAAGCATGACCGAAAATGACGATTGTACCAATTACGAGTATTTAAATGAATCAGGTAAATTGACTAAATTGAACTTTTTATATTTTCTAATGTGAATTTATATGATTTTAAAGTTGTTGAACGAATATTGCTTTTTATAAATAACTATATTAATATTGTAACCATTTTGCAGATACTTGTACCGATGTACCAAACGAATCTTTATCTAACTTGGAAGAATCTTTCTCAATCTTAGATATTTTAAGCAAAAATACATTAGTTACAGAAAGACCCACAACACCTAACGTATCTACATTTAAAGAGATTGCAATACCGAGGCTATCTACGCCAGAAAAACCTACAACACACAATACATCTACACCAAATAGATTTAGTCTAAAAAGAAAATTTTCGCTTGTTGAAGAACAGTTAGGTAATGCTGTTGATGTTTTTAAAAGTTATGTTACTAAGAAAAATACCGTACATGTAGAAGATGAGTCCTTAAAATATTTTTGTGACTCCTTGTATGGAGATTTAAAGATTCTCAATAAAAAAGATTTAATTTCATGTAAAATTGACATTATGCAAGTAATTTCAAAGTATACAAATTAAATTTTTTTTACATTTTCAAATTTTAAACAGATTAAATCCAAGTTTAGTTGTGAACAGTTTGTTTATAATTTCTAATGTTTTTCTACATTCAAAGGTCTAGAAATTACAGATATACAAGTAATAAAAAAGTTTAATTTTGAATACACGTTATTTGATCAAATACTGAAAGTTCATGTACGATCAATTTCTTTGATTTTTTATTTTATGGTATTTTTATACAAACAAACACAAAAATAATACATTTAAGTTTACTATTCGGATACATGGTTTTATTTAATAATCCACAGTTTATTACACAGTAATATACATATGTATTTGTTATTCAGCATATATAAGACTATAACATATTTTAAACAAGTGTTTTATATTAATAAACATTAAGTGTTATATTAAAAAAACATTTTATATTAAAATTTGTTTTATGTTTAAAAAACCTGAAAATATTTATTTTGGCATATATCCTCTAAAAATATAATCCCATTGCCAATGAACTGCTCCTTCATTGGAAAGATAGTTAGCCATACTATCCCGAAGTTCCATCACGTTTCTGGAAGCATTATTTGATCCTAAACGTCCTATTCTTTCAAAACTATCTACGTAATCATTTCTAAACATGCCTGGTGTAATGCTTCCATCAGGCTGAACATTATCAACAAAAAAGGATGGACAGTACACTCTTTCACAAGCAGGAACCCTTTCTTCAAATATACGTAAAAAATTGTGTAAACACACAGTTGCTGCAACAATTTTCTCCACATTTTCCACATCAGCAATAATATTATTTCGCAATATTCGCCATCTTGATGATAGAATACCGAAAGCATTTTCAATCGTTCGCCGTGCTCTTGACAATCGGTAATTATAAACTTTTTTATGAACGTCTAAATACTTTCCAGGGTACGGTCTCAGAATGTAAGGTTTCAACGGGAAAGCTTCATCTCCAACAAAGTAATGTGGAAACATAATGTTTGTATTCTGCAATACTGAATCGGCTGGTAATTTTATTATACCAGAGTCCAGCGCTCGCCCAAACATTTCCATCGCTTTGTGAACCATAGGATCCAATGTCCACAAGTGTAAATACGTAATCAGCGTCACAAACAGCCATCAATATGATGCTAAAACTTTTTTTGTAATTAAAATAGGAACTTCCAGATTTATTTGGAGCTTGAATAGTTATGTGCTTCCCGTCTATAGCACCACAACAGTTAGGAAAGTTCCATTCTTCATAAAATCTTTTACTCTTGTTTTGCCAGTCTTCAATTGTTGGTACTTTTAAATAAATTGGAGAGAGAACTTCCCAGATAGCTGCACAAGTTTCACAAACAATTACATGTACAGTTGTCTTTCCTATCAAAAACGCCCACGCTACTACCTGCATATTGCAGCCATGTGCTAGGTAACTAAAATAGTAATTTATGTAAAATTATATATATGTAAAATACCATATATAAATATATGCATATATTATATATGCATAACAAGTGACAGTATATAAAAAACAATAATTTATTAGAATTTATAATATTTGTATACTTACAATAATGTAATAACAAGTATATGTTCGGGACTTATTGTTTGTCGATTGCTGCGCTTAATTAATTTGTGTTTAATTAAATTTAATAATACATAGAAACTTTCTTGTGACATTCTTGTATATTTTATAAATTGTTCATTGTC